TAAGCCACTCCAGCCCTCTTCTGTTTACTATTTGCATATTGTATTTTTTCCATGGTTTTACTTTCAATCTGTCTTCATCTTTGAATCTAAATACATCACTTCTAGACAGCATATAGTTGTCATTATAGTGCTTTTGTTAAGATATGTATCAGCCTAGTGTACTGACAGAGAAGCCTGGCTCTCCTCAATATTTGTGCTTCTAGAGTATAGAGTTGTCGAAAGGGAGTTATTTTTCAGCATAGACTGTATCTTCAGCTTCATATCTCTTATATCTAAGGGATCATCTAATTGGTTTTCACCAATGTATTATAAACACTAAGTTGATGCTGAGTCAAAGAGGTTAAGAAATAAGTGTTCTTCTCTTTCTTCGTTTCTCAGTTTGATGCAAAAGAGCACATTGATTTTGGGAGCCACATGTTTAAAGATAGTGAAGGTACAAGATGGAAGGAGTCTGAGAGCCTGGATGATACTTGGAAGAACATCTACTTTGGTGTTTTGAGTGAGAAGTAGACTTTTGTTGTATTTTATCTATTAAGACATTTTGTTAGAGCAGATAGGATTACCCTAATACAAAAGATGGTCTGATGACAGCGCTGGTATTACAGGATAAGACTAACATCTGCTCAATACACGATCCTTTATGTAGTAGTGACACTTTTAGTAAAATTATTTCCCTGAATCATGTGTATTTGAGGATCTCAGAGTGAGGATCTCTACTGTACAGTCAACCAATCTGGGCATACATGGACCTGTCTATCTGGGCTGGTACAATATCTGGTAAAACTCTTTTTGGATGGGGGGAGAATTCAAGCTGTCAGGTTGGGGCTGATGACTTGTTCCCCGAGGAGAAGACCCTCCCAAGAACAAATGGCTAGTCTTTAACTTCCTAGCTAATACGTTAGACTGAGGAACAATGGATTCCTTTTATGTAGGTCCAGGAAAGCTTCTCTAGGCCAAGGTCAGACTCTTAAAAGAGACTATGTCAGGATGGAAATATCTGGCTAGAGGATTGATGTCAGTTTTCACATCTGGAGAGTCATTCTGGGAGTCAGGAATGTCAGAGAAAGTTGAGAAAATGCTATGAGGTGGGAGCAGAGGACACTTGCAGTGATTTGGGACACATGTGAGACACACCAGGGACCCCTTGAATCAGAGAGATATGGGCTAGGGATTCTCGAGATTTTTCCAGTGAGGGTTACATAAGGGGCACCTCTTCTGTTGCTTTATTGTGACATACATTTCTGATTGAACCGTCAGGCTTTTGAAACCTGAGGAAATGTGGCCTATACATATGCTATGATGAGCTGGGTTATGCAGCTTATAATGGAGGCAGAAAAAGATGCTGTGATTCGCGTCTATTCTTTGCTCATTCTCTTTCATTGTCTGAAGTCCACTTTTTCCCTAATCGTATGACCACTGGGACTAGAGACCCCATGGACGGAGTTCTGAGTGATCCAGAGGAACACTGTAATAAGAAGCTGCTTCCTATTGATCTCCCCCTCCCAGTAAGCTCTGTATTTGGATTGCTTTGGATGTGGGGGGAGTGGGGTGAGGGCAAACATCCAGGAACTTACATTTCCAAGAGCTTTGTGGCTTATACTCAGAAACTCAGTGAACTGATAATGATGGCAAGCAGAGGTTAAATCCCCATCTCATCATCAAACTGGGAAGAATAAAGGATTTGTATTCAGTCACACAATGTGGAATGAGGGCAGCTCTTAAAATGATTGCTTAGGGTGCTTTTTTCTCATTGCCTCTATCTGTATGTGATAAAATCTGCTCAAAAAGAAAATTTTGACTAGATATATAATAAATGAGAAATGCCCTTGGGAAAAGGGAAACACCTGTTTTTCCCCACTCTGTTCAATTCCTACCAGTTAATTCCTCAGGAATATTTAGGTGGCAGACATCAACAGTACAGCACCCTGCCTCCCCTATCCCCTCCCCAACACAAGTCCCTCTGGCATTTCAAATTAAGAGTTATTTTTTCTTCTTTGGCAGACGAGTTTGCCTTTATACTGCCTCCATGGGGCCATGGGAGTACCCTGTCCCTGAATGTACACAAACCCGTTTGAAAAACCTGATGTGGAAATGATCCATAGAAACAAGAGAATGCCTTTGCTTTTGACCATACATGGATCTTGGCACTGTGTGTGGGGAATTCTCCTGGGCTGTTACACAGCCTCTGCCCTGTGCCCTTGGTGGGGAGGCGGTTGTGCTTTCTTTAGCATGGGTGCTTTTAGAGGGTGACCGCTCAAAAACCTCAGATACTTTCCCCTCCCAACAGAAGGGCCCTGCCCCGGGATTTTAGCCAGAGCAGAAACAACCCAAAGGGAGAAGTTTCTGAACATTCTCTTACTTGAAATCCATTTCTATTCCTCACCATAGCTTTGCAAGAACTTCTTTTATGACAGCCTCCCGCAGAAGTTTAAAAAATTTTCTTTTCCACTTAATTTACTTTCCAATGTCTTACTCATACTTGGCCTCTGTCTTTATTTTACTTCTGTGAGAGTTGAAGGTAATAATATTATTTAATAGCCGTATATACACCTTCCCACACAGGGGCTACATCCTTGTTATATTACAAGCCCGCAGCTCCTCATTTTATTCCTCGAAATCAAGAGGAAAACCCCCAACAGAACGTGCTAGATAATTAGCTTGGCTACCGTTTGCTGCAGAACACATTTTTGGTTGGCTTTGGCCTTCAGGCCTCAGCGGAGGGGGCAGTCAGAATGACGGCAGCCTGCTGCAGCCAGATCCCAGCTACCTCACCACAGCCCGTAATTGTTTATGAATTAAGCTTTTGCCAAACAAATCTACACGTTGTCTAAACCTTCCATCCCCAGGGTGCATTCCAGCCCACCCACGAAAGTGCAGCGTGGGGCTGCACTTTGAAAAGTCTTATTCCATCCTTGGCAGAGTTGGTTGGGATTCAGACTCTTTGGTTTTTATCTTTATTGGCAGCATCAGCTAAATCTGGGATTGTTTCTGATCCCCTTTAAATGGTGGCACAGGTGGCACATGTCAAAACTGAGTTCACATCTCTTTACCCCATAACCTATCCCCTGAGAATAGTGTCCCTTTCTGCTCCACAGCTAGTCCCCAGCCCTGCAAGACGGGAAAGCCCTAGTGGAAAGTCCTCCCACACACACAGTGGATAGAGTAATCCAGCAGCAATAAGCCAACAGTTGCTGCTCGGTATTTGAACATCATTTAATGAGTGCCTAGAATTCATCTGTAAATGCACATTGTTAATTTAGGGCTTGCTATTCATTAATTAGGGGTTTAGTGGCAAGTGCCATTGAGCTATCTGCAATGTTTAAGGTTACATCAAGCCCTAGTAAACGGCTTGCTGATAACAAGATGCATCCATCTTCATTACTCGGCCACTCCTGTCTGACTTTGCTCAGCATCTTCGAAGGGCTATGCCTCTTGGAACTGAAGAATTAAACTTTTATCCAAACCAGATTCTGCTCTTTCACCTCTTCTGATTCCTTGAGTACTTCCCATTTATTCTGCCAAATGACATCTGATTACCTAACATGGAGTGGAGCAGGGTCTTAACCTAAAGCAGTCTGCAGATCTCAGTTCTCAGTTGGAAAGTTCCAGTGGGTTAACGCTAAGGAAGCCCTCACATTTCCATTTCATCTGATACTGGGCTCAGTGTAAAAGAAATAGTTTCAAATTTTTCTTCTCATAAGGTTGCAGTTCCAGTACAATTTTTTCTTAAGCCAGAGAAATACAGGAAATTAATTTTAAACCTGAAGAATAAATGTCCCTATTGGTTCAAGTTTACTTTTGCTGTGTTTCTCTCTCTGAAAAAATGTATTATTTGAGGCAATCATGGTGCCAAATGAAATAATTCCAACCACCTAAAGAGCCTTACATGTTGAGTCTCAGCTGTACAAACGTAGTCATGTTGGAGGTGCATGCTCAGTCACCAGAGGGGCTCCAAACCTAGACTCCTTTTCCATTTCTAGGCCCGCAGTTGAAGCAGGCAGTGAGAGCGAATATTTAGAGGGAACTGCTCTTAAAGAAAATTATATAAGTGCAAGTTTGTTTATCCTTCAAATGCTGGGTTAGAGGACTTGCATAAAAACTAACTTCCATTGACAAAGGATCTCTGTAAGTAGTTGATTCCAAGAAAGGAGACAGCTACCTGGCATGACTGTTTAACACATTAGGGTGCTTGCAGGGAGAGCCTACTGCTCCCCTGAACCATGGTTCAATTTTAAGCATCACTGACCAGGATGGGTTATTGTAACTATGTTGAGAACTGAGCTTGGAGAGCCTGATGCTCAGTGTGTGTGAGGGAGAGGGGAGGAGGAGGAGGAGGAGCTGCCTACTGGAATAATAGCCCAAGGGAGGGTATCTGAAAACCTTTGCACCACTGAGCTGGCACACTTATCACAGGGTGACAGTCTATACCGGGGGCCTGCAGTGCGTTGCTGTTTGTGGTGCATGCTGCCAACTGGCTTAGAAAATTCAGATTCCCTTCTCAGATAGAGAGAGTAGGAGGCAAAATGTCAGCTGACTGACATTCTCAACAACAGGTCTTTCTCTGCTCAGGATGCTGGAGTGTGGATCTGTGGATCCCAGCCTGGTCTGCTGGGTTGGAGTAGGAGGTAGCTCTTCCCAGAGAAGGCTCCCCTCTCTGTTGTTACCATGAGCCCACCGGGGGCTAGCATTCAGCTGGCAGGCCCCCTTCACTTCTCACAGACTAGCAGCAATGCCATCTTGTTTTCTCTCCTTTCAGTTTTTGTAATTAAATTCCACAAACACTAAGGTTAAAAAAAAAAAAAAAAGATGAGTTGTATCTGCAGATCTTCTTCTTGTTCTACATCTTACTAAACACAAAATAGAAAATGCCTCAGAGACTATGGTGAGAAAAAAAACAAAGCAAACAAAAGGCTTGGTTTATAATGTTTAGTCATGAAGTTACCTACATTATATGTGATTGAAAGAGACAATCTTAAGCCGAGGATTTCTTAATTTACCAGAATGATGCACTGGACACTTGAAGTAAGAGCCCTTTGAAGCTGACGTGCTGCAGGATAAAACACACTCTTTCTCTGGAAAAGAGAAAGCCAAGATACTGTGGGAGCACAAGGAACAATGAAGCCAATGAAACGGAGGTCAGAGCTGAAGGTTTCTGCTAGAAGCAAGCTATATACAGGTATTTTAATTTTTTTCATTCAGCCAGAAATTCTGCTCTAGGACCCAGAGCACTGCATGCAGACTGAGAGTCAGAAAAGCGCTCAATTGTTCAATTTTTATCATTCAATATTATATTAAAAATTTTTAGGCTCTTCGGGTCAAGGCGACTTTTAAAAGGTTAAAAGCTATTCAAAAGGGTTACCATATCCATAAAAGCAAATGAGATTAAGCCTAAAGACTGATGGAGGAAAAACAATAATTTAGATAAACTGCCACTGCCTCAAAAATGTTTTGACTTTTACCAGGGAAAGGGAATTCAAAGATTCTTAGATTGGTTGTCATATCAAAGAAAGATTCATTAAATGTGAAGCAATTATTTTAGTGCTTTTTATTGTTTGGTGTGTTTTAGACTGGGTTCCACCTTTTTTCTGTTACATTCTTTATAATGGTTTGGGAGGTGTAATTGCATGGCTTCAACGTCCATCTGTCAACTATTGACCTCACTGGTTGTGCATCTGTAACATCAGACACTGTTGTCATGGAAAGAATTAAGATGTTTCAATCCAATGTATTGCAAAGTTAGCAAACCCATAACATGGTCTGGATCATATGGAAGGGTTTAGAAAATCTGTTTCAGAGGCCTCAGAGAAAAGTGAATAGGATATTCCCATTAACACTTATCTCCACTACTTACCATTAATTGAGAAAGTTATTGCATGAAAACGGAAGACCTTAATTTGAACCTTGAACTCTTCTGAAGAGAGTACTCCAAACCAAAATGTTGGGGTTCAGTAACTGAGACAAAAACCATTACATGCTTTCAATATAAAGTTACATTCGTATCATTGATTGACTTGGTGGCAACTATGGAGTTTCTGTCCTTATGGGGCCTCTTTAATTTTTGCTCAAAGTACTTAAAAGTGTGCTTTAGTCTGGCTTTTGTCCTGATCTCAAAAAACTGAACCTGCTAGAAAGCAGGTCTCTTAGAGCTGGTAAACCTGCCAGAGGGGATTACAGCAATCAGAGCTAGGTGTTATTTGCTCAAAAGTCTATGGATATAGAATAGCAAATTTTCTTGACATGAAAGTAAAAAGTTGATATAAAAATTTAATTTTATCTGCTGAGGAAAGTTGGTCTGGCCTGATAAAATTAAATGGATGGAAATAATATTTTGGACACCTAAATTTTATTTTCATTGTCTTGTGACTGAACAAATAAGTACTCCAGGTAAGAAGGGCTACAATTCCCATTTCATGAGAAATATTCTCTAACAAAGAGTTTTTGGGCTACATATTTTTCACTTTCATAAATTCTGAAAGGAGAATGGTTGATGTGGACATTAAAAGAATTGGCTTTCTTGGATCACAAAATGACAAAGCAAAGCTGATATATCCGAGAAGAGTTTAAAAAGCAATGTGGTTGGCCCTGCCTGAAGAAAATCTACTATGTGAAACCAAAAATTTACAGATGAATAAACGAAGGGATGATTACTCATATTGTAAAAGAGTCTTTAAAGAATTCCCCTAGGATTCTTTTAAAGGCTGAGCTCCACCAGTTCATGAAAGTGTTTGTATGCAGATCATTAACTATTTGACAGGCAGGCTGGAAGGGGCAGAGGAATAACTGACACCTGAGGATCATCAAATCTCTAAATAAACATTGATAAAACAATCGTGAAAATCAAAGCAAAAAAATAGGATATTTACTTATAAGACATGCTTTATATACTAGAGCTGTTGGAGGCACACTATTTGGGTTCAAATGCTAGCACTGCCACCTGTTTAGCTGTGTGACCTTGGATAGGTTATACAACCTCTCTGGATACCAACCTTCTAGGTATAAGGATTACATGAGTCAATATATATAAAGCATTTAAACAGTGGTCTGCCACATAGTAATTGCTACACACTTTTCTAAGGTGAATCTGGACGAGCTATTACAAAATATCTGTTCTTTACCAAAGCAGAGCTTATTAGCACAATCATGAGACTGGATATAATTTCACAAAAGCAAAATACTTTCTAGCCCCCAAAAGAAAAAACAAACGAAAAGCACTGAGAAATAAATTCTACTTCTCATTGAGTTTCTAAGGAAGTCAATCTGAAGTTTAACTTTCTTTAAAATTATTGTTCTAACTTTAGTTTTCTAGGAGTTTAACAGAAGTTTTAAGTTTGAGAAATACATACAGGCAGTCAGCAATCTAGTATCTGTTGATTTTTCTATGTTAAAAGGCTTTGATTCACCTATTATTACATTTGTCATCTTAAGAACAATAGTGCATAGGTTGAAATAAAACATTCTTATTTGTGGGAAAGAAAATCTTTTGCTTGGTTAATTTCACTTGGTTCACACAAGAATGGTCGCCTTCTGTGTATTCTACTCACTGTCTCTACTTATATAAAGCTTTCAGCTTGAAATGGACATTAATTGATGTTTTCGAAAGGAACAACCAGTTACAAGGTGTCTACATTTGCTCTCTTAGTCTGATGAAATGGTTGTGTAAAACAGGTTGCCAAACCAAAAATATCAAAAATGGACATGAAGGTCATGGCACTAGGAAGCTGAGTTGGGTGAACAGGGGGAGGCTCACAGGCTCGCTGTGGCTGAGGGAGCCTGCTCTGGGATCCTGCAGTCCACAGTTGGCTATATCATGTCAGTCCTGACATGGCACACGAGAAGGCCCAGACTGTTGTAAGGGCCAGAAATGACACTTTTTAAAGATTATAAACAGTCTCCTAATTATTCAATGGATTCTTCCTTTGTGTTCCCTGAAACTCCTCTTCCACTCAGAATAGGTTTCCTTATCTGACCAGCCCTCATCTTGTGTCATAAGACCCTCAACTATGGCACACGCTAGCCCGTATCTTGGTTGGATACAGGTTAAATGAAAATATGCTTTCTGCTTCTCACACTTAGTTTATGTGAGTGAAAACTGATGGAAATGCGTAAGTAAATAGTTTTTAAGTGCAGGAGATCAAATTACCTCCTTCACAACTTGAAGTTCTTGACAGCTTTGGAAATACTATGCTTTTTTTCAAATGTTAAAGTGGGATGATCTTTACCTACTCTCACAGCAGATTGCCAAATTGTCAGCTTTCAGTGTATTATTTTTTGAAAAAAGTTAAGTGATTTGATTCATTTTGGGGGAACATTTCTCAAGTTCAGAAAACTTAAAACCATGACATTCTATAAATGTTTTTATTTCTGACTTGAGTTATATAGAATAAGGGACAGAACTTAGTTTAAGTGGGAGCTAATTTAGTTGCCTTTAGTTAAACAACTGTCTCTTACTGCAGTGGTCCCCAACCCCAGGCCATGGATGGGTACCTATCAGAAACCAGGCTGCATAGCAGGAGATGAGTGGCGGGCAAGCCAGCGAAGGTTCATTTGTGGTTACAGCCACTGCCCATCACTCACATTACTGCCTGAGCATGAGCACCGCCTCCTGTCAGACCAGCCACAGCATTACATTCTCATAGGAGCACAAACCCTATTGTGAACTGCACAGGTAAGGGATCTAGCTTGTCTGCTCCTTATGAGAATCTAATGCCTGATGATCTGTCATTGTCTCCCATCACCCTCAGAAGGGACCGTTTAGTTGCAGGAAAACAAGCTCAGGGCTCCCACTGATTCTACTTTATGATGAGTTGTATAATTATTTCATTATATATTACAATGTAATAATAATAGAAATAAAGTGCACAATAAATGTAATGCACTTAAATCATCTGAAAACCATCCTCCGCTTGCAGTGAGCTGAGATCCAGCCACTGTATTCCAGCCCGGGCGACAGAGTGAGACTCCGTCTCAAAAAAAAAAAAGAAAACCACCCTCCCTGCCCCTGGGTCTGAGGAAAAATTGTCTTCCATGAAACCGGTCCCTGGTGTCAAAAAGGACAGGGACCACTTTCTTACTGTGTATTCCCTTTTTGTCCAATTGCTGTTATATGTTAGTACCAAGAAATCAAATTCTGTTACACTTGCATACAAATCTCCCAAAGCAAACTCCCAGGCTTATGTTCCTGTTATATTTTCTCATTATACATTTAACCTTTGCAACACTTGACACAAGTATAACTGAACAATTTATTTGTGTAATTATTTGTTTAACGTCTGTCTTTATGGATCGACATTAAGCTCTCTCATGATAGGAGCATATCTGTCTGATTCAGTAAAGACCAAGGATCATACAAATAGTAGGTGCTCAGAAAATTTCTTTAATAAAAAACAGACACTAGTAAATATTTTGTGCTTATTCCACTTCATGGTAATTGAGTATCTATATCATACAAGTCCCACTGAAATTCTTTTTTATTTAAAAATTTTAACTTTTTTTCAATTTTATTTTGTATTGCTACATATTATACATATATATTTTTAGAGTGCATGTCATAACTTGATCCATTCAAAAATCAAATTAGGGTAACTGGGATACCCATCACCTTAAACATTTATCTTTTCTTTAAGCTAGGTACATTCAAATTATTTGCTTCTAGCTATTTTGGAATGTACAATTGATTAAGTCAACTGTAGTCACACTACCAATTTATTGAACACTAGGTCTTATTTCTTTTATCTAAGTGTATATTTATACCCATTAATCAACCTCTCTTCATCCCCCTCTGTCCCCTACCGTTCCCAGTCTCTAACCAACATATATTGGTTAAAATATTCAAACTTGTATAGAAGGGGAATGAATGAAAAGTAAAATTTGTCTTTACTACCTCCTACTGATCTGTAAAGATTTCCAAAGACAATGATTTTAACTGCTTCTTTCTTGTAGCATTCTGACATTTCCCATTTTATCTCTAAATCATATATTATTTTCTTGATTTTCTTAAGACTTGAGATCATATCTATTGATTTCCAAATGAAAGATGATAAGTTTTATGTACTTATACTCTTTCCCTTCTTCTTATTTCCCTTCCAAGTTCTGATATTTTTGTTGGTTATTTTTGGAGGTAGTGTGTTAGTTTTTATATTGGCTCTCTTTATCACTTAGTATTATCCTTAACCTAT